CAACAGACTTGCCAACCCAGATGACTGCCTATAGGGTAAGTGCCTGGCGTACTGGCACAGTGTACTCCCATGGTAGTCCCTTTGCATACCTATCTATTTTCGCCAGCTCGTCTGGGACAATGCGTAGAGCAAATTCCATCTTATCTGTGAAGGCATTGGTATATTCATCAATGGACATGTTGTCCTTCTTTAACGTCAAGAATTTGTTTTCTAGCTCTAGCAGATCTTGGGCCGAGCAGAACTTTCGTTTGAATTGCAACAAAAATTCTACCCAAGTCAGTTGCAGTGGCTCGATGGGGCTTATTATCTTCCCCAGAGTGTTCTACCAGCGAACAACGCCACCTCTGAACTGACGCACTGCATATGTGGTTTGTAGCTTGTCATTGCAGCCACAAGTTATGAAAGCTAGCTCCATATTTGAGATCCAATCCATGACTCCGATCGGATCCTCCTTTCCAGTGAAGATCGATGGTTTGCAAGTCAAAAAGTCTTTATACTTGTATCCAAGGCCATCATTTCCTCCATCGTGATGATTATGTCTAACAATCTGTGGGTTAGCTTGACCAATCACCCCACTAAAGTTACCTCCTTCTGACTACCCTCCATTCACTTCGGGCTCTTCAATTGGTATTGGCAGTTCTTCGAGATTCTACCGAAGCAGACACCTAGTTTCTCCCATCTGACGATCCAGCATCGTTTGAATCACCAATTGTATTCCAGCCATTGTTATCGGCTCAGGTGATGCTGTTACAACCGGTGCTTGCTCAACCACAGGTGGTTGATTCCTGTTTTCGTTCACGTTTCCAGCTCCAATTCTTGTTCTTGCCATTCTTGATCTATACACCGAATAATTTTTAGATCTTCATTCATGGTAGATATTCAAATCATCCTTATCACTCCGAAACGTTTACATGCTAGTTCTAATATCGTAGACGCACGCTTAGAACCCTAAACACATAAGGTTTCCCGGTCCAGTCGGCAACAAACCATAGATTCGAAAAAATAATATCATATATGGCAACATATAAAATTTAGCACATAAAATAATTTTAGGCAACTTTCCTAAAATAAACTAGTGCTCATGTCTAAAATATAACAAACACACATCTCAAAATCTTCACTTAGCATTCTAAGTTTAAGCCTAGAAATTCTACAATTTCCTAGTTCGCTTAAACTAATGCTCTGATACCAACTGTGACATCCCCAATTTCACGGCTAGAAAAGACCGATTTGTTTATGTTTTGTTTTTAAAATCAGATTAATCGGTTAAAGAAAATTGTTGCGGAATTTGTCCCCAAAACAAAATATGATAAGAATTTATCAAAGCATTTCTTAAAGAAAAGTATTTTCATTATATAAAAAAATCTCGGGATGTCATGTTCCGATACAGACACATAAGCATAAACAGAACTTACATTTTTTTTACACTAATGATTTACATCTCCTTTAATCTCTTAGTGAAATATGTCTTCGTATTGATACCTGTGATACAAAGAAAACTAAGTGGGTCAGGCTTGGGAGCCTGGTGAGCATATATGGTTTTCAACCCACGATAATATAATTATTATTTTCAACCATCAAATAATCAACCCAATTACCCATCCCCATTATCTTCTTTATTTCTCAAGGTTTTACCCTAAGAATTCAACTATCATTCATTCATTTATTCCGAAGGATTAACTTAAGGAATTGACACAAAATCCATTGCTACATAATGCGCATCTACCAACATCATCTTTTAAGCGCCTCTGCTAGGATTACATCAGACACTATGAGGCGTGGCTGCCAGGTTCTACCCAACATTTTATCACATACCAACTATCTCATCTACCTATGTTATACCGAATATATTAGTAGATATAAAATACATATACAGTTTAACTCATTTAAAAACCATATAAAACATCTATTCCATACTTATCTCAAATAAACAACAGTATATAAACACATAGCATGTATTTCATAGCGAATACTTCATATTTACGTGTTAGAAGAAAGTAACCACACACTCACACATATAAACAACAATATATATACACATAGCACATATTTTATAAAATACTTCATATCTATGTGTAAGACGAAATTGACTATACACTCACTTGATCAGAAGATGATCGGACAACACTACGACTTGTAGAAGTAGTATTCTTGGGTAGATCTGGAAGATCTTCACAAAATCGGGCTCCTCGCGGGTAGGGCTTCGGCTCGGGAATCTCACTTCTCGGGATCTTCGGGACTTCAGAACTTGCTTTGGGGCTCAGGTATGATACCGGGGCTTCGGGATATAATTGGCACGCAAATCGAGGCAAAAACTTAGAGAGAAGAAAGAAAATGAGCAAAGAAAATGGCTGATCTTGGTTTCTATATATAGGCTGCTGGGTATGGGATTACGCTGGGCGTAATTTCCAAGTACGATGGGCGTAATTTTGGTTACGCTGGGCGTACGCTTCGGATAAGCTTTGGTATGCGTGCCATGATCTTCAAAAATTCATAACCTTCGCATACGAGCTCCGTTTTCCACGTTCTTTATATCCATGTGTAGGTGAGATTATGATCTACAACTTTCATTTAGACTCCGTTGGCAAATTTTGAATTTATTTTTATTATATTATTTTTAGTAGGCCGGGACATGAAAACTTCATTATAAATTCACAACTTCTTCATCTGATGTCCGTTTTCGTCTGTCTTTTTACCGTTGGACTACTATCAACAAGATCTTCGATTCTCGCTTAGATTGTTTCAGCTAAAAACTGCTCGATCTCAAATCAAGTATTTGGGCTGCATACCGCTAAGTCGAAACTTAGAAAAAGCACAACTTCCTCATACGAAGTCAGATTCGGACGTTCTTTTTATGCACGCTCATGGTTTAACGAATTCTAAGACTTTTGTTTAGATCGCTAAGGCTAAATGTCAATCTAACATAAATTCAATTTTTACGTCATTCAGCGTCGTGTCGGTTCTGTCGCGCAATTTCGACAGGTCATAACTTCTTCGTTATAACTCGGATTTCGGCGTTCTTTATATGCACGAAAACCTTGTGACGTATAGTACAACTTAGTTAAGATTATTCATTCTAAATAATCTTCTATCAAAAAGTCGTTTTTGATGCTTATCGTCTCTAAATTGATTAGCCATAATCTACGGGCGTTACACATACATACATACATACAATTAATCAAAAGTCACTGCTTTTCTCATGGGCATTTTATCAAACATGTAGAGTGCAAATATATGTTTTTTTTTAAATATAACAATAACATTGTTGATAAATTTGAAATAATAATTTGTATACTAAATTGATATAATATATTGCTTATTTTAATTTATATGATAATATATACATCTATTATAACTGCATAATCTCAATCGTTTTAATGACTTCTACCTGCGAGTTATTCATGAATAAAATTAAATATAATATATGGTTTATTGGTTTAATGTTATTTATAGTTGTTGTTATTGTTAATTAATTTCTTAAAATTTATTTGTTTAACGTTTTAATTTCTATCATTATAATTATTTAAAACATCAAATATTGTTTTGTGATTTTAAAGGTAACAATATAATCATTCATATAGAGTTATTTTTAACTATTGTTATTATAAGTTATTTTAAGCTACTTATTTTAAAACTTTTAACGATTATAAAAATATATTTAGGAAATATTTTAGTTAAATTGAGATTACAATTTAGTTTTTGCATTTAGCACTATAATTTATCACTTTTAACTATTCACAAAATATTCATTGGGTTTTTTAAATGGAACTGAAATTTATATTTAAGTTAACACTGTAAAGTTATATTTAAATTGATAATTTAAGTATTTTGTCCAAACTGTTCAAAAATTGTAGTTTTAAACTGATAACTACTTATATACAATAACATCATATATTTAATAAATTAAGTATAATATGTTAAAACTTAAAGTCATAACTTTATAAGTAGAAGTAAATATATAATTTTAATATTAAAATTTAGTTTATTTATGGTTACACTTTAGGTTTGATATTTATTTAACCTTATTAACCAAATTATAATCATTATTAGAAAGATATTAATATTTATCACTTTTAATTATTTACAAAGTAAAATTTATATTTAAGTTGACCATGTAATATAATATTTAAATTCATAATTTAAGTATTTTATACAAATTGTTCAAACTTTATAGCTTTAAAATGATAATGATTTACATCCAACAATATATTAAAACTAATAAATAAAGTATAATATGTTAAAACTTAAAGAACATAACTTTATATATAGAAGTAAAGATATTTTTTAATATTGAAATTTGGTTTATATATGATTACACTTTAGGTTTGATATTTATTTAACCTTATTAACCAACTTATAATCATTATTAGAAAAAAAATTGAAAACTCTTGGGAGTTTGAAATGGATGTGGTGAAAGGAAAAATGCATGAGAGTTTCAAATGAATGTAGTGAAAGGAAAAATGATTTCTTTATAATATAGTATTATATATATATACACACACACACACACACACACACACACATATATATATATATATATATATATATATATATATATATATATATATATATATATAGAAGTAGGTTAATCTAAAAACACAAATTAGTGTGAATACGTGAGGACGATTTACAGCCAATCAATTTTTATCATTTAAAAAAATAATTAAATTTATTTTTAAGGGTAAGCATATCATTTTACACCAAAGTCAAACAATTAATTAAAACAAATTTCCTGAAAATATATTAAATGATCTTTCCATAATCCACAATTGTAATCCACGTATTAATCATTTTATATTACTAGTCGTATGATTCATCATTTTGGAAAAGTTTTGATTAGTCTTTTGATCCATATGGATGGTCATACAGAAGACGGCGACCATGTTCATTTCGGTTCAAAGCTTGATGGCATAGATGATACTTATCATGATAGTCTGTTCAATGACCAACATCATGGAATTGATAGGAATCCATGTTTAATTTCTTACAAATTTTCGTAAATGTTAACTTCATTTTCTCTTATTCCGGTTGAATATAATGATAAGAATCCAGGTTTAATTTTTTACATTTTTTCGTAGATGTTAACTTCCTTTTACAAATTTATGGTTGTATATTTTATGTTAATTCATCATCATTTCTTTTGATGAAGATGCAAACGATTTACATGCTATTTCAATTGAAGACGAGACATTGGGTGTATTTGATGATAATCAATCTAATGATAATCATCAACATGTGGTTATTAATGGAAAACAATATTGGATTCCAAAGGTACCTGATGAAGTTAAGCCAAAACTCAAAGGTCATTACAAGTCCTATGAAGATATAACAAATATGTATTACAAGTACTCTCTTACAGTAGGTTTTGATATTAGAAAAACGATGAATAGAAAAAATAGGCATGGTATTATTAGATTGAGATACCTCGTGTGTAACAGACAAGGTCTTCCTAATACAAGTCTTGTTGATACATTGAACCCAAACAAAAGTAAGATTCAAAGAAGGACTGATAGTCAAAGGAGTGGATGCAATGCATGTATTAGATTTAGTATGATAAAAGGAAGCTCTGCATGGTTGATATATGAGTTTTTAGAGGAACATAATCATGTGCTTGTGTCTCAAGATAACATATTGTTTTCCCGATACTATAGACAACTTAATTTATGGCAAAAATCGTTCATTATTAGTCTTTCTAATCAGAACGTTGGTGCCACCCAAGTTCACAGGCTCTTTATTGCTATTAATGGTGGATACAATATTATTTGAGGCACGGTTGATGATTTTAAAAATTTGATGAGGGATCTAAATTGCTTTATAGGTAGAACTGATGCTCAGATGTTAGTCAATAAGATGACTAACAGAACAAAAAATGTTCATAATTTTTCATTCGATTTCAGAGTTGAAAACAAGCAACTCAATGCTATATTTTGGGATGACGAGACCTCAAAGATAAATTATAAATAATTTGGTGATGTTTTCTCCTTTGATGCCACATTCCGAACCAACAGGTTATGTATATTTTATGTTTATGTTTTTTTTTTTTTTTTTTAATTTTAAGTACTGATTTTACCACTTTTTAGGTATGACATGGTATTTGTTCCTTTCACTGGAATCGACAATCACAAAAGGTGTGTTACTTTTGGTGCTGGTTTGCTTAGCAAAGATGATATCAACTCATACACATGGTTGTTGAAATCTGTTCTTAAAGCCTTTGGTAAACAACCAATACTTGTGTTATCTGATGAAGACCCAATGATGAAAAACGCTATAGCCAATGTTTTCCTAGAATCAATTCATAGGTTGTGTATGTGGCACATCACTTCCAAGTTACCATTAAAGGTTACAAGCTTTTATTTAATAATCTCTTAGTCAAAATTGCATTAATTATGAATCACTATTATTTTACTTTTATATTCTGCAAAGAATCAATGATAGTACTCTTGTATGTCTAACATACAGTTCTACATTGAGTATCGGTTTATAATACTAGCGTCGTTTGCCTTTATATATTCTATACTGATTCATTGATTTTGATTTTTAACACTTTGCACATTTTCTCATTGTAAGTTATCATTGGATATTGTCAATGACGAGGAATTTAAGTTACATTTCAACTCCTTGATTTGGAATTCTAAGCTTGAAGAGAAAGATTTCGAATAGGGATGGCAAGCACTATTGGATGAATATGATCTTAACGATAATACTTGGTTAAGGAGAATGTATAACTTGAGACATTTCATGGATACCTGCATTTTTCAAAAGATTCCCCATGTCAGGTCTCATGAGAACAACATCTCGTTCTGAGAGTCAGAACTCAGCCTTTCATCAAAACAATCATTATGCATCAACTTTAGTAAACTTTATGAATTCGTTTGAATTTGCCATGGAGAAGCAACGTTATACTCAATCCTCTTTGGAAATTCCCTAAAATGAGAACACCATTTCCAATAGAGGAAAACACTTCTCTATTCTACACACGTAAAGTGTTTAGACAACTTCAAAACAAAATCTACAGGTCAATGACTGCATGTTTATCGTTAAATCACAACATCGTTGACCATGTTCATGAGTTTCAGATAAAAGAATTTAGGCCACATGGATATTCCACTTCGAATCGACCTCACTCCGATATTGAAAGCGATGATGATGATGATAAATGGGATAAGTTGCTAAAAGACTCTATATATACAGTATTGTTTTAAACTCTCATATCATTTTATTTTTTTGCACACCGAATTTTGCATATATATGTGATTATTTTTCTATGCAGGTTAAATGTGACCAGAAAGAAGACACATTCATTTGTAGTTGTATGAAGTTTGAACAATTTGGGATTTTTGTCGCCACAATTTTATTGTAATGAAAGCCTTCAACATCTAATTCATACCAAGAAGTATCTTATAAGGCGGTGGCAGAAGGATATTATTCCACCTGAATTATTACGAAGATGTTTCCGGTATTCAGATTCAGATGAGAATATTCAAAAAGTAGCAATTGACATATTTTCAACGGTTGATAACTGTCTCTCTTCTTTAAGCGACAACAAAAAAGACTTGAAGAGTATTATGAGCACTTAAGGAATTCGAGACCAAGTTTATGGTTGACGTTACTATGCATGAACGCCCAAACAAGTCAACAGACTTTGGAAATAGACTTGGAGTCTCGATACCCGTAGATGTTCAAATTCAAAACCCAACTGGAATTAGGAACAAAGGGTCTGACACTAAAAAATGGATTAAAGGTGCTCAAGAAATTGCAGTTGAAAAATCACGTTGTAACTATTGTCGTAAAGGTAACAATCATGATTGGCAGAATTGTCCTTTAAGAAAGGAAGATGAGAAGAACAACATTTTTAAACAACATCCTAGAAAGAAGCACTAATTTATTTATCGGTCTTTTTTTCAAATTAATTTGTTTGGTTTGTTTACTTTATGGTAAACCAATTGTTACATTCCCAGTCAATTGTCACTTTTCAGTATTATGTTCTTATAAATTTTTTAGCCTATCTATAATTAACATTTAAATTGTGTTTATTAATTTTTATTGAAATTTTATGAAGCTTATGCACATATTCCTTGTTTTTTAACCATCCCAATCCTTAAAGCTTTATTATACGTATACAACAATTAATACATTACAAATGTCAATATTTTATTAATAAAGGCATATTTAAAACTATATATACTACATACATTTAAGAATTAATATATGAACTTATAAAAGATATGTCTATTTCATTACATACTTGTTCACATACATAAAACATTACATTCTTCTGTATTTTTTTTTTTATAATTATTCATTTTAGAATAATTATAAAAACAAAATTTATTACATGATTATAACCAGAAATATGTTTAATTACTAAATTCATATTCAATACAACCAATATATAATTGTCATCTCCATTCTACGTTTCTATAAATTCAGGAAACATTAATATTCTATTTTCATATAGAAAATAATTAAAACATGCACTTAAAAAAATATGTATTATGAATTATGTAATCGTTGATAACACCGCTTAATACATAATTCAACTTAGAATTATGTTAGATATTCAATTAAGAAGTTCACACGTGAAGATGTGTTATATTATTCTAGCGCCAGCTTTTATAGCCACTCTATTCAAAAATTTTAATTCACATTAAGTCTTGCATACTATGTTAGTCTAATACGAATTTGATGTTTCAAAAAAAAAATTAAATTACTTCCAACATGTATTTCATTTTAACATCATTATCTTCCACAAAAATGTAACTCTAATAGTTATTTAAGAAACAATTACATGATGTTGTATACTATTCACAGTATGCACCACAAACCCATAGATTGAGAACATATATGACTCATATTTCTTATAAACGTGTGACCTTTGATAAGTGTCATATGACATATATTACATATAGAATATAAGAAACATTCAGGTTCACATTACTAATAATAACCATTTTTTCACACATTAAATAGGAACATCACATAGTTTCACTTAGAATACGTCCAACACATAATAATCCTAACAAAAATACCATAATCCAAAAAAACCAACATATCAAAACACTTTAAAGTTCATGAACCATCATCATCTTTTATAATACTAAAAAACCTAATTAAAAACACCATCTTCTTCACAAATCAATCTACTACAACACACCTGTGATTTCATTTTTCTTTTCTTCAACCAGCTTCATCCTTTCAAACCTAACCATTTTTTTGACAGCTGCATAATGATTCACGAATGTTTGCTTCATAACATTAAAATCTGACATCATCAACTTATCCAAATACTTATACCTTAACCGTCCAAACATCTTTTCTTGATTTTTATTATCAACACATAGACCGCAATCTCATTTACTTGCCACTTCTCCCATGTATGTTTTCATGTGTCTGCATAAGGAAAATTCAACAATCAATGCCAATTATTGTCCTTTGACACTTGATTTTTAAAACCACACCTTCTTTTTTAAGTAACACATTTGCTTTTTTGTGTTCAACACTATTCAGATAACGACAAAAGAAACTTTACTGTATTTAAAAAAATAATTCATATTATAATAAATATATAACAACAATAATGACAATATATATATATATATATATATATATATATATGATTTGATTAAGTAAACAACAATTCTAACCAGGATACGTGGTCTATTCCCATATGCAGACTCAATTGTCCCCGACCTCTTGATGTGATCAAATATATAAAATGCAACCCTTTTCAAGCAAAAACACACTAGGTAGTAACTGTCATCAACAACAATTGGTATGAAAACCTACATTTAAACAATATCAGCATCAGTGCAACATAAATGTGTGATAACAATCATGTTTAAATATTGTAAAATGTAAAAAACCCATACCAAGTCCACCGTTTTCAATTATGGATTGTCCGATATGTCATTAATCATACCTACAAACATAATTCTGACTTTATTGTACCTCAACTCCTCCTCTACATCTTCATTAACCATGTAATATGTCTGTTTTATCATAACAAAACACCGACCATATTACAATTCATAGCTGAATATGACATATAACACACATATTATTCTTAAAAAATTACAATTGTATTACATTGGTATGCACTTTTGTTCTCATAGCTAACGTACGTGCAGCTTCCAAATGCATTCCATGACGTTCAATAGTCTCCCATATAATTTCCCTGTCATTTAAACAAAATACATTAAAAATGTCACGACACAAAAAAATTTCATTCTCATTTAGTCACATAAAATGTACTTTCTTACCCATTATCTTTCCCCCATGCTATTATGATTTCAGCCACAACGTTTTCATCATCTTTAACCACCTCATCCACGTCTGTAATACGATTTATATATGGTGAACACACCAATTATCCAAGTTTCCCCTTCCTTTTACCTTTCCCATTTTTAAAATCAATAGCATGCACCATTTCACTTTCCATACTATCTTTTATAGTTATTTTCTTCGGTTTGTCTTCCGTTACAAATTTTTTTGTATATCTAATTACTGCCTTGCTTTCTTCTTTATCAAATTCATTTTTCTCTTTCTCATTCAATTGTGTTATTCTCAAATCGAATGACGGTATGTCATCTTTGTAAAATTCCTTTTTCTTTCTTATGCTCCTTTCCACAATTTCATCAGACATATTTAAAAGACCAGGTGTCAAAACTACTGGACTATCCAATGATGTATTTCCTTTATATTCCAGAAAGAGTACGAAAGGTGAATTGAACCCATCGACAACCTTTGTCTTCTCGTTATTCCTTCCAGTAGACTGAACTTGGCATATCATACTACTTCCTTTCACAAAATTATTTTGCTTAGAATTGACTGCAACTTTACCAGGCGTTTTCATTGCCACTTCATTTGTGGGTAAGCTAGTATCTCCAAGTTCCACCGTCTTTTCATTAAAAAGTTGGCGCACCTTTATTGACCACTCTTTTACCACATCATCGTTTGGATCATCTTCTAACCCCTTCATAATTGCTTCCTCAGTTTTTTTTCTTATCATCACAGATCCTACAATATAGCATTTCAATTGATTCCACCCCTACCTGTCATTGTTATTAAAACCAATTACACATTTTTCTTATGTATAATATTATTTAATACAAAAAATACATGACATAAATAATAAAATAACTTACCAGCTTATCCTCATCACCATTTACATCAACAAGATCCACTTCCCCATCTCCACGAAACTCCAATGTTCCAAATTTTCCCATTCTCAATCCATGCTCCTCCAACATTTCCAAATCAACTGAGTCAATCTGTGTTATCAATGGCCTTGATCTGCGAAGATTATATCCATTTAAAACTACTTTGTCCGTCTACATAAGCTGTAACAAGATAATTAAGAAGTTATATTTACTTATTTTCATTAAAGAATTAAAAAGATAATATATAACTAAATGCACATAATTACAACTACTTACCAGTAACAAAGTGATTGGACCTGTGTAATAACAGTTTGCGTCATTCGGCCTCCATTTGTATTTTGCCTTCTCCAAACATTCAACTATATACTTGCACCTATCGATATTTTGAATATCTTCATACCTTGCTAATTTTTCCAGACAATTAATATGGCTTGCCCCACTCATCTCTGTCTCTGCAAAAGTGTTTCTGAATAATGTCAGGAAATTAAGCTTGAACATGTCATCCGCCACATCTGATTGTCTAATCCTCTTCACATAGTTTCCATTATTGAACCTTCCTCTTGGATATTGACTTTTCCATGCTTCAATAATTGTCTCTGTTTTATCGCATTCCACTAACTGGTTGTAGTCTAAACCTTCACTTGGCAAACCAAACATCTCTTCAACCGTTTTCTTTGTAATAAGTATTTCCCCTTTATTAGTCTTAATCGTGGATGTTTTTGCTCTGAATTTTTCCACCAAGTAGTAATCCAATCTAGAAGATACTGAATCTAACTTTATATCGAGGAACGCACCAAAACCCATTCGTCTCACCATTTCTTTCTGACTGTATGACATTCCCTTCACCGCCATATATATTGATTTTGGGGACATGCGACAACTTATTTTATGCAACTCTTTACTTCTGTCGTCCTCAACAACTACATCTTCATTTTCTACTAAATTATTTCTTTTCGATTTTCTTTTCTTCATTCCTTTCTTATTATCAGTTTCTTTTAGAACTTCATTTTTTTTTATGACTTTACTCTTTTTCCTACCACTTCTTCTTACATTAACATCAAGATCAGCTTCAATATCTTCATAAATTTCATCTTTCCACTTGTTTTTCTTATTGACACTAACACTTGATTCACCTACAACAAACACAAAATAACATACGTATGATTAGGATAACACTACTGCATTCTGTAATGAAGCTTCAACAAAAAAATGTATTATGTATTGACTGCTGCATCAAACTTAAAAATGATTTTTTTTAAATACTACACAATACCACAAAAACATACTAGTTAACTAATAATGTATTCCAATTTGAATACTTTCATATACAATGAATGTTTTTTTATATAACAATATTTTTTTGAAATAATAAACAATACCACAAACCATTATAGTAAGAATACATAATGTTACTCATTTCAAAAATCATTCAAGAATATTTAAATCCTGACACATATTACATTTTCAATATTGAATACATATAGAAGCATAACATGCATAATGTGTTCTTCATCGAATACTAAATCAAACCCTAACATAATATAATGAAATACTACCTCAATAAGAATCATGCATATTTGTTGGGACAATACTACCCTAATAACACATAATGTAATAATCAAATAATGTTAGTCAATCAAGATTCAATGCATGATTTGGACAATACTACCCCAATAAGAATCATACATATTTGTTGTTTCTATGTTTTCTGTGCAGAATATTTAGTCCAAGAAATATGTTATGTGTTGAAGTATTACATAAAGTATTCAATATCAAAATGTTTTCAATATTGAATCCATGTGGAAGCATTGCATACTATCACATATACTGTGTATTATGTATTGAATCATTACATTAGTACTCTATTCTTCATTGAATACTAAATTAAAATATTAAATTATATTTTGCAATAATACACTAAACCAGAACACATTACAACAAACAATTACACTGATAATAAAAATTAAGTGCAGAATAATTAATCCAAGACATATACGCTATATCCAATTCTTACATGATATATTCAGTATCAACATTTTTGAATATTGAATACATGTGGAAGTATTGCATGTTATCACACATAAAGTATATTCAGATCAGAACATGTTAGAACTAATATATACTTTCTATTAAAGTATTATACAATGTGTTCAATATTGAAAACACGTAGCTAATCATATAATCTTCCACACATAAAAAACCATACAACATCATGTAGTCAAACACATACAAATCTAACACAATATCAGTTACAGAAGAAGTACATTTTTCAAAATGACATTTCACCTGCTTTTTTGCTAATGGTTCCTTACTAAGCATTACCACACTAGAACCTCCTACACAACATGACAATGACAAATTGTTAATAAATTGGATTACATGTTATGTATTATATAAAATCCTTGGAAACTAGCCATTCTTCTAACTAGATTTCATGATACAACCACACCAACATTCTTAACTGTATTACGATTATAATATGATTATTAAACAGACAAAAAAAATCAAACACACAGTAATAACAGTCGTTGTCTTCAACAAATCCATAAAAAATCAACAAAAAATTGGAATACGTGGATCGTCGTCCTCAACATGGAAGGTAACTACAAACATTATGTATCTACATTCGTAACATAAATTATTTTACACATATTATATTTGTATTTAAAAAAATTCGTAAACAGTCGTCGTATTCCAAACATAAACTATTATATAGATGTATTTGAACATCAGTGAGCAATACCTGAATGAATGTTCAAGAAATCGTCGTCATCAAGGTTAATGGCTTCTTCGAAAGTGTTGCTGAACTTGCTACCCTTCATTTTTGAGTTTGATCGAAGATTCCTCATTATGTGCTATGTCGAACAATCAACGATTTTTATACTCAAATACCGAATCAGCTTTACCAGATTTGCATTCAACGTTGAAATCGGATAATATCTTCACCAAAAATTGGAAGATGCGTACGGATTTGGAAGACGGATACACTGGCGAAAACTACGAAATGAAGACCCTTTTCCTAATTTACTTAACCTAGTTTTTTACACAATTGCCCTCACAAACTCGTTATCGGCTAATTTATGATATTTTAAAATTATTTTTCATTTTTATTTAAATATAAAACACTTAATTATCCTAACCATCTATTTAATTGATCCAATGATTGTAAAATGCCCTCATGTTCTCACAATAATTGGTGTTTTTACAAGAACTATCCCCTATATATATATATATATATATATATATATATATATATGTATATATATATATATATATGGCTGTAAACGAACCAAACGAACACGAACAAAGGCTTGTTCGTGTTCGTTTGTTTAACTTTAACTGAACAACAAACGAACACTAACAACTAAACGAACTAACTTTTTATGTTCGTGTTCGTTCGTTAATCAATTTTTTGTGTCCGTGTTCGTTTATGTTTGTTCGTTTAGTTGATAAACGAACATAAATGAACACAAACGAACATAAACGAACACAAAGTCAAACAAACTTAAACGAACATATATGAACGAACACAAACAAACTTAAACGAACATAGATAAACAACCATGAACTTAAATGAAAACAAACACGTCTTCAATATTTCCATACAATAATAACATCCTACTTAGTTGTTGGCCAAAAACATAACACTACAATAAAGTTTTACTTAGTTGTTTGCCATTCCATACAAAAATAACCAAATAATACTTCAAAAACACCAAAAGAACCATTTCCCTTCTAACCGATCCTTCAATCCAACATTCATCCTTTCAATTCAACATCCATTCTACTAAAAAAAAACATAAAACATATCAAAATTATTAAAGTTATATCAAAAAGTAAAAAAGTAATTAGAGTTAAATATAAACAATTTATTTACATTTACCATAAAGAACATCAATTATCATCTTCGTCCTCAAGGTAGTTCAATAGTTACAATATCCTTATTTTTCTATTACATACCAAAAAGTAATTAGCTCAATAAATCCACAATATTAAAAAATTAATAATAAGAAATATACCTTGTTTTTCTTTCTCTCTAACCCATAATAATATCCAATCAGCTCCACAAATAAGCATATCTACCATGTTTCTTCCTAAAGAACAACGATGTGGATCAATAACCCTTCCACCAGCACTAAAAGCAGACTCAGACGCTATAGTAGTAACCGAAACTGCCAAGATATCGGCAGCCGTGTATATATATATATATATATATATATATATATATATATATATATATATATATATATATATATATATATATATATATATATATATAGGGTAAAGTGAATATACCTAACAACCTTATATAAGCTTAGGTACCTAACCACATCATACTACATAATTTTGTATCATATTTGCATTGTAACCACCCAAAGTTCTTAAAATTCAACCTCATAACTTGATTGCTTCCAAAATCTTTGGACTTTCACCATTATCTTCCTTCAAATGACGTCTTTTTATCGGAGACCCCCTGGTGGGCTTCATATATTGCGTTACAAATCAAATGGTATAGGAAGAATATAATGGTGAATGTCTGAAAATCTTGGAAGTAAATCAAGTTAAGAGTTGAAGTTTAAGAACCTTAGACGATTGCAATGGAAATACAATGCAAAACAATGTAGTATAATGTGGTTAGGTACCTAAGCTTATATAAGGTTGTTAGGTATATTCACTTTTCCCATATATATATATATATATATATATATATATATATATATATATATATATATATATATATATATATATATATATATATATATATATATATATATAACCCGACGTTGTATCGTTGCATCGGGAGAGCATTTTTATACATAACTTTAACTCGTCCGGACATCTCTTTCTTATTTTTGTAGATTTATTTTTCCTTAATATATTCGTATTTGTTATAAATAAAACTCTTGTTAATTTCATTCAAGATTAATTGTAGATAAAATTACATAAATGGTCCTTGTGGTTGATACAATTGACCAATTCAGGTTCTTATGACAAATTTTGTCCATAGATGATCCCTATGATTTCAAAATCTTGCAAAGATAATCCTTTTGGCTAACGTTGTTAACTTTTTCTGTTAAATCTCTTGTAAAATGACACATTTGTCATTCCTACCATAGGGACCATTTTTGTACTTTGTTTCAACCACGTGGACCATTTATGTAACATCATTTATTATTATTTTCATTTACTTTATTATTATTAAGAATTATTTTACGTTATGTTCGAATATATTATTTTTTTTATATTTTTCGCTTATATTTTTTTTATTTTGTTCCTATATTTTTTTCTAATCTTTTTTGACATTTTTTTCGAATATATTTATTAATATTTATTTTGACTTTTTGTTTGAATAATTTCTTTGTGTATTTTTCTACATTTTGTTTGTTTGTATTGCTAAAGATTTCATGGTGTCTGTAATCATAATTTTTAACTTAATTCGCTTATAATTAAATTTCCTTTTTTTGTTCATTTAATATAGATAAGGTTTAATAAGTATTATTTTATAATTCAAATATATAACTATATAACATATATAAGGTTGTATAATTATTATCTTTGTAAAGTTTTTTTTAATAATTTTTAATAAAAATTGTAAAAAAAATTGTTAAACGTGAATATGATTAATATAAATTAGGTACACATAGACTAACCTAAGACTGTCTCGTAGTCTTGATTAGAACGCCTATATCATTTCATAATGGACTTAACTTTAGTATTTTCGAGTTATTTAATTTTTTTAGACATTTTTTTCGATTAGTGTATATATATATATATATATATATATATATATATATATATATATATATATATATATATATATATATATATATAAAGGAAAATATGATTGTAAGTGAATTAAGTTACAAATTATGCATATAGTGACCATGAAATCTGTAACTAATATAAACAAACAAAATGTAAAAAAGCATTAAAAATTATATTTGAACAAAACGTCAAAAAAATAGGAGACATTATTCAAGCAAAAATTCAGAAAAAATATTAATAAATGTATTCAAATAAAATGTCAAAAAAAAAAAAATAGAAATAATATACGAATAAAATATCAAAAAATGCAATTGAAAATTTTAAAAAACAAATATCAAGAATGTATTCGAAAAAAAAGTCAAAAAATACTAAATCATGGAGATATAAATAAAAATAATAAATAATAGACAAAGTTACATAAAAGTTCCCTATGGTTGGAACAAATTACATAAATTGACCTTGACATGAAGGGCAAATGAGTTATTTCATAGGACTTAACTGGAAAAGTTAACACCGTTAGTCAAAATGACTGTGTTTATAAGATTTTGAAACCATAGAGACCATCTAGGCACAAAATTTGTCATAAGGACAAAAGTTGGTCAAATGTGTCAACCAAAGGACCATTTATATAATTTTGTCTTAATCACAATATATAGTAGAGTAAATTACACGAATTGTCCATTGCGCAGGTGTTAAAATGCATGTTTGGTCCTTATTTTTTAAAATTAACTCGGATGGTCCTTTGTTAGGTTAAAAGTTGCACGCTTCATCCCTCATTAGTTTAAATCTACACGTTTCATCCCTTACGAGATTTGAAAAGACTATTTTGCGCTTGTTTACTTTCTTTTTTATTTTCTTTTTGTTTTTATATTTTTGTTTATGAATTATAATATTTAAAAAATGAAATGGCTCTCTCTCTCTCTCTCTCACACACACACACAAAAAATAAAGAGTAAATTACACGAATGGTACTTATGGTTTAGGGTAATTTGCACGTTTGGTCCCTAACTTATTTTTTTAACTCGGAAGATCCCTACTGTTTGTTTTTGTTACGCACTTGGTCCCTGTCTTACCTAAAAAGACTACTTTTCCATTGATTTTTAATTTATTTAAACAAACACACCCTCAACCTCACCCCTCTCACTTTACCTTACATACCCCACCATTTTTGCTTATTTAAATAATGGTATTTTTAGATAATACAGGGACCAAGTGTGTAACAGAAACAAACAGTAGGGACCAAGTGCGTAACAGAAACAAACAGTAGGGACCAAGCGCGTAACAAAAACAAATTGTAGGGATCTTCTGAGTTAAAAAAATAAGTTAGGGATGAAGCGTGCAAATTATCCCAAACCATAGGGACCATTCGTGTAGTTTGCTCAAAAATAAAACACTACATCTCGTTCTTACGTCTCCTCCACCTCCACCATTTTCCACCATCACCACTCCTCTGTCCAGTAAATCCCGCCATGAACTAGGGCTCCGTTCTTTTTTCTCCCCACTACAATCACACCTTATTCCAGTAATTTTAAATGGGACAAACATCTCTTCCCATTTCTCTCTTCTTTTATCTATGTGGAACCCTCTGGTGGTTTTAGGTGATTATCAGGTGGGTTTTATGATGAATCTCACTTTTTCGACAGTACAAATAGTGAAGGAGGCAGTTTCCATCACTGAAGGTTCATAGATGATAAAAACACCTAATCCAAGTGTATGGATGAGGGGGTGAGTGCAGATCAGTGAGATCGAGGCGACAATTGGAATCACACACTTGATGGGTTCAACTGTAGTGTGTGGCCAGGTGTTCCAGGTTATATAAACTCCATTGATTCCTTCTGGATCGGTATTTTTACATCTCAGTTGCCATGTGGATGGATCCGTGTGCACCAATATTTGGTGACTCCACAGTCTATTGATTCAAATACTATCAGGGAAGATTGAGGGTTTGTAATTTTTGTTTCAGACAATAGGAGTAAGGTGGCTTAGACACCTCTATTGATCATGGGATCAAGGTCACCATCTTGGATCTCATCACTTCACATTCCAAATCATTCTT